TGAATTTACACTTATGCAAAGCCCTCACATTAATCTTCTATGCAAATAAGACATTTCCTGGACTTGTAAAATAAAAAGGTCTTAAAAACTGGAAACAATTGGGGTTTTGTGCTGAAGAAAAATGGAGAGCAGTATTTAGTTCTGGCAGACTCTTCTGCCCTTTCCTAAACCAGAATTTGGTTCTCATATCAGGTACGAAGCAAAATTACAGCTCAGAGTGGAAAATCAGGACCTGACCTTGTGAAAACAAACAGCTTCCCCTTATGGTGTGACTCGAAGACACACAATAAACCCCAGCCCTTAAGCAGTGCCTTCTACAGCGAGGCTTGCAGAACTGCACTGGTGTTGCTCAATTAGCCATGAGAAAAAATGCTGGGAAAAATGGAAAATAACCTAGAACAAACAGATTAGATCTGGAGATACTAGTCACAGCATTTTCTTCCTTCCTGTATTCTCTCCGCCTTACTGCTCCCCTCCCCACCAAATATTTGTACTAAAAGCAGATTTACCATCTTCTCTTTCCATCTAGCAACCTAAGGGAAAAAATTTACTATCTCTGCACATTCATTATAAAAGTTTCCAGGCACAATAAACCCTGTGGGCATGGAAAAATATAACAGTGGTGCTTCAGCAGGCTTGAGGTTGCTGGAAGATAATCAGTAAAACATGTATTTCAAAAATCAGAGGAAAATCATGAAAATATTTGAGAAGGAGAAAAATCCCACCAAATTATGCAAAAGGACTGTATTCAGATGGAGAAGGAGGACTAGCGAAACAGGGCACAGCACTTTTCATGAGTAGACAGAGCTACTTATTTTGCAGAAGAGTCTTTCCTCTGTAATCAACTAGGTACATGTATTACTATTTGATGGAGTAAGCAGCTGTGCCTTTGAGGAACCCCAGCGACGTATCTTTTTATTCTGGAAGATCATACATACAGCACATGTAGAAGAAAAACTCTGTACCCTGCAACTTCAAAGGTTTCCCAAATAAATATCTCAGCAGCCCTCATTGTGGTGTGTTGTAAACAACCAGAACTTCTAACCACATCAGGAACACACATAATATATGAATAAGGATGCAGAGTTGTCCTGGAAGGAGACAATACATAGCTCCCAGAGGTGTGTTGAAAAAACTGAGCTCACATCCTTCCCCAGTTCACCTTGTTTGAAATCGGTGACCATTTCTACAGATAATCTTCCATCTTCATGGCCACAAAGACCATCAACCCATTCCAAGTGAACTCAGCTGGTGAAATACTGTCTATGTTGCCTTTCAAGTGGCTGATGCTAGTTGTGAGTTCCTGAAGGAACTGCTTATACACAGCTTTGTAATGTCCTTGGGGCCCTTTGTCCACTTCAGTCACTAACACCTAACGCAGAACGAGTGAACTGCACCTTACATCTGCCTTTGAGACACCAGAGAAGTACTACCATATCCCCTGTGCAGTGTCTCGGGGAATTTCCTACACTCAAGGGCTAGAACTGCACTAGAACACACTAAAAATTACTTACAGAACTTTGACGCTTTGCCTAAGAAACCTTCTATGAAAACTGTGATGGGTTAAAGACATTCGGGAGCTGACACTAGCAGCAAAACAACAAAATTCCTGAAAAGATACAACCATTTCTTCATATTTCTCTTTAGTAAATACTCAAAGGACCCAATGTGTTTTGATTAAGCTCTTGAAATAGGATGAGGCTCTCCAACTACTCTAGAAACTAAGTAAGTACTTAGTAAGCTCAGTAAGTACTGTGAATTGCCAACTAGAAGAACTGTGTTCATCAGCAGACCAAGGATCTTTCTTGTCTTGAGGACAGCACCTGTGTAATGCACAAGGGATGAACAATGGTCTGAATATAACAGCTATTTGCAACTAAACAACAAAGACACTGAAACAGAAGGATAAATACACTCTTACTTGAGACAAAAGCACTGAGATACAGCTCAGAAGAACTTATGTCAACACTCACCGAGCAAAACTCTTTCCAGGATAATGAGAACGAACAGGTTCAAAAGGCTAAAAATAGCTAAAGTTTTTTTCCTACTGTGAAGAATTGGAGCCAGAATCAACTTCTCCCTCCCGATAGGAAACAGACTGCTCTCAGGTAAACACGGTAACCGCAAGTTCGTTCCCTCTTGCCCATTGGATTGACACCTCCTCCCCCCCTAGAAAAGGATAAAAAGCACCACAATGACCAGCCATTGGCATGATTATACTCTCGAGATAAATGCAATCAGTACCCTGTGATACAGGCAAAACCAAAACATTATTCCCATTTATCACTGCATTACTAGAGCTCTGTAACATCTACAGTTCAGTGTTATGAAGAGTATCACAGAAGAGTCTTTCCAGGTCAGTATAAAGTCTTCACTATGAAAAATAAGTCACAGATGAGGAAACAAGTATTCTCTCTTCCACTTGATCATGTTATTTCTGGAAAGCACTATGCTAAGAGTCAATTCCCTAAGAAAGAAAGGCATTTCAAAGAACATAAATCCACTTAGCACAAATAAAAAGGGATGTTAACTTTGTTTCTCTGTCCATGTGAAAGGTAATCCAAAGAGCCTTAAAGTGGTAAAGCTCAGGAAACACCAAATCTCAGCAGCCGCACTGGAGAAAGTGATTTACCTTTGCTATCTAGAAGAAAAAGTACAGCCTTTTAGCCACAAAGACAAATCTGAGGAAAGTCGGAGAATTAAGAAAACCACTCCAAGTGGAAGACAATGCTAAACTCAAATAAGAGCAGCCTGCCCTCACTGCAATGTTAAATTAAGCACTGTCTCAGCCTATGCACATAGACAAGAGTCTTCTGCTTAAATTAGGCAGTACTTTAACTCTGAGCTCGCTGGTGCAGTGGCACAGTTCAGACACCAGTGATTCTTGCACTACCAGTGCAGCAAGGCCTTAGCTCATACACACTGCTAACTTCATCTCCCCTGCTGCTTGACTGCTGTTCAGCAGTAAGAACACTAAAAAAGAGAGGAAAAAGAACAACCCACAAATAAAAGGTTGCACTGAGTCAGATTACAGATGATCTACCCAGCCTCCTGTCTCTTAGCAGCGGCCAAGCTAACAGCCTTACAACAAGGCAGGCGTGGAGGGAGCAGCGCTTCTCCAGAATACTCCCTTAACTGCCAGCAACGGCAGCTTGGGGATTTCCTGAGCCAAAGGCGGTGTCTTCATACTTCATAATCCTCTGCGCATTCTTTTTGTCACTGCAACAAAACAGACTGAATAAGCCTTAAGTGGAAAGATAACTTAAGGAACTAAAAAGCCACACGGAGAAATAAAGGTAAAGGCCTGGCAGCAGAGTTGGAAACTTGACTGTCCCTGGCAAAAAAACCCCTCGCACAGAACTTCAGTCCAAGTTCTACATTATCCACTACCCTTCGAGAAACAAGAGCTTCTCATCAGTTTTTCTTTTTCAGTTCATGTAATCAAAAGATTAGAGTCCTAGAGGCAGAGCTATTACTCAGAAGTTCAAACATAGCAGCTAGAAGAATGCAGATTCTCCTATACTGGGAAGAGCCAAAATTGCTGGTTTTCTCTAAAATCTTTCAAAAGGAGAATAATTCTCCTGCAAACTCAACTAGTTAAGATTATCCTAACTTAGCTGGCAAGTCATTAGGCTTTGGTTGGACTTTAGTACAAACTTTATAATCCTAAAAATATGTAAAAAAAAAAGAAAACTAATTTTTACTTTGCACTTTTTCTCCTGTTTTCCAGGCCTAAAGAGTTCAACAAAATGCCAGTGATACATGATACACGTATAAATGATACAGCCATGCCATACTGAAGCTATAAACATTTAACAGGGTACAGCTCTCTTCCAATTTAAGAAAAGCTTCCTTGATTTCTTCTGAACATTATGCTTTTCAAGAAAACAGACAAAGAAATATGTTTTTAAATATTTATTTTTCCTCAGACACCAGTGTCACTCTTAATGCCTTCTAGACACTCCCTAACAGCAGAGAGGATAAGAAGAGATTGGGAAACACAAAACCATCAAGTGCTAGAAATGTAGGTGCCATGAAGCTCCTACCAAGCTGCTGTGTTTGTGTGAAGCTCTGTTCCATGGGTCACTTTCCTGATTATCACATCTTAACAGACATTAAGACATACTCTGTTCTCTCCAGCCATAGGAAGCTGAAAACAGCCGCCCTTTCTAAAACTCCTTGAATGAAGGGACTGTGTTAACAGTATACCAAGGTTGGGGGAAATGGGGGGGGGGGAGGAAAAAAATAAAAATAAAAAGAGGCTGTACCACCATTAGGGAACAATTTTTCTATTTACTTCTCTTACCCACCACTGATTTCCAAAGCTACAACATACTGTACTGGCAGGATCCCTGTCAATTCAAGATAGTCTTAGTTAATTATACTAATTTCCCCCTTGTTCTTCTTGAAAAACATACCAGCGAAAAACAACCACTGTCAGCTTCATTCACAGTAGCAGAACGACGTCAGTAATTAAATTAACATTTTTAAAATTATAATTCAAGGAACCAAACTTTTTCATTACACAAGCCCCAAATACTGGATGGCTTGACACTTGCATCAGATTGTAATTTTTACTCTTTACCACATTGTATTGGATTTTGAGATAACATTGACTAAGTCTTATAACTCCAGAATAAAATTAAAATTATTTCCATACCAGCCAGAAATACCATTTACAGCACAGCTATCACTACTTGATTTACAGCACCATCTAAGCATTAATTAATTAGCAGTACTAATGTAACGCAAACTGACGAGTGCAATACAAAATACAGCTCTCTACAGTCTAGTAAAGTAACTGTACCTTAATGCTGTAATTAGAAGTTCTTACTTTCTGTCTGACCGCTGCCAAACCGAGCACAAACAGGCAGTCCTGCTGATTTCAGGAGGACTGCTGAGTGAGGTTACTCATACAAGAAGGAATCTGCAGGCCTAGACCCTTCCACCTAGATTTATAGGTATGAACTACGCGAGTCTAGCAGGAATTTAACACTTACGCTTCCACAGTTGTTCTTACAGTCCGATCCTCACCATCTTCATCCGAGCTGCTACACGTTGCATCTGAGTCCAGATCCTTCTCCACACGAGACAGCAGCCCTCCAGTAGCAAGTGCAAACCCCCGGATCTCACCTGGTGCAATGCTAACTCCGTTCTGTACATCCGCACCTGATCCACTCTCCAAAGCAGTTTTGGTGTTTTCTGGCCAACCTTCAGTGCACCTGAGGGAGCTACTGCTCAACAACCTGGTTGGCTCATGGAAAACCTTCATTCTTTGTAGCTGATGTTTCACGAAGCATTTCAGCTGCTGATCACAGTGTTTGATAACATGCTTTGCCAGGAGCATTTGTAAACGCTTCTGAGTCCTTTTGGCACGACTGATTTCCATTTGTTGCTTAGTGACACACTGGAGCAAGCGAGTATACACCTCCTCCGGGGTGCAGCTGAAAATCCCTTCTGAAGGCCCTTGAAGAATTTGGTGTAATAAATTCCCTTTTATTGTTTCAGTGCAGACTTCCAAAGCCCTACCCAAAAAACCATTCTTCTTGTACCATTTACCATTTAAAAGCTGCAGTTCTTCTGCATTACTGGATTCAGTTACATTTGAATCCAAAAGTGTCTGTGTTTCTGCTAAATTTGGAGATGTGGTCTCTGAAAACATTTCCCCTTTGACCTGTTCCTCAGGTTCCGAATGGCTGATCTGCCCAAATGATGTGTCAGCACCATTGTGTAACGAATTTCTCATCTTGGAGCAGTCAGGCTGTGCCGCTTTCATTTGCTTACTGGTTTTGTTGCTAAACGCAGAATTTGTACTCATTAACAAGACAGACTGATAGTGCTTAGAGGATGGTGGAGAACCAAAGTGCTGCACGCTGAAGATATCATTCCTGAGGTTGGGTCCAGCATTGCGGAACCCCAGGACTGAGCAAGTAATCTGTGCGCTGGAGTCCTCTTTTATCTTCTCTTCCACTGCTCTGGAATTTTCCATGCACAAAGCTGTATCAGACTCCATAGCTCTAGAGGACAAAGAAGGTGACAAGTGGATACCATGACCTTTTGTTGCTGCCTCTCTGACGGCTGGTGTCATTATAGCTACGGCAGGCAGTTTATAGCAAACCTGAAAATAAAATGGGCCACGTAAATTTTCTCATTTTCATGACACAGTACAAATACAACAACTCTGTCAGATATTTCATTTTGCCAACATTCCAACATTATTCAAAGATCCCATAAAAAAGGGCACTACCTAAAGAATACGGATAGACTATGCTCGCTCCTATTTCCAACCTCATTCATAGGTTGTTCTATGTGCAACAAAAGACTTTACCTCTCAGGGGAGTAAGTGTCCATACCTTATTGCATTTCTGATCCTATCAGTCAGAGGAGTAAGACTCACGAAGTTCAAGACTGTCATCTAACCTTGGCCAAACTCGAAAATATGACCATAAATCATGCAACTGGAAGGATGCACTTTGAAATATGTGTGCAAGTGTATGCACATGCACACACAGAGGCACAGCTACACACTCCCACTTCAGAACCCTGGCTGGATTTTATTTCAGTCCGCTCTGGATAAGTTACTTTTTGAGTTACATTTGATTTTTGTTGAAGTATTTTTTTTAATACTTAAATGAATCAACACTCACAGTATCACAGAAATGGGAGCTATTCAGCTACCTATTGCAAGTTCAGCAAAGCAGAACTCCTACCACATGATGAAACACTCTGAAATAAACTCAGATGCACCACTGGGAGAAATACATTTAATCTAAACCTATGACAAGCAAGCATTTGATTAATTAATGTATTATATATTCTCACAAATACACTTTAGAAACCAATCATCAAGGTTAATGCTTTAAAAACAGAACTGTTAAGTTCTAAATGCTTTCTAAAAAACTCTTTCCTGTGCCTTTGTAGCCAGTTCTTTAGAGATTTATTAGGCACTGTCTGTATAATACAAAGACAATATTATTTGATAACAACTTGAGTAAAGACAAGCAGTTTTCCTTTACAAACTCTTTCACCTGTAGCTTGCCATAGCTTAGACAAAGGGTTCCCAAACTTGGGGATCAAAAGAGCAGTGTCAACCTTCGCCATGCCTTGTCAGCAGCAATGCTGCCATGTCATACTGTCTCTACTCCACAGCTTACAGAGTAGGAATCACTGCCTGACACTGCACTTTCAGCTTTGTTTAGGAGATGGTTAAATTCACCTAGAAAAATAATTAACTGGCCTGCAGAAGCCTGAAAGATAAGCTACTGTCATATCTTAGTTAAGAAGCTACAAACAATAAGAGAGCAGTAACAAAAGTGAATGTAGCACAGTAATTGCACAGTAAATTCTCCGTTTAATCAGTATGCTAGTTGAGCTGCACTTCCATTGCCCTCCTTTAAACGTCTTCAGTTTCTTTGATCTCCACAGCAACTGCCTAGCTCAGCAATTTTCAATGCACATATCCCATGAGAGGTCAATGATTCTGAGACTGCCATGCATGGATCTTAAGAAAAGCAAACTCCTTGTCTGAAGCCTTAGCTGGTTTATAACTACTGGTTTTAGGATCAAGGTACAAACATGAAAAGGCGATGTGAAACCCTAAGGAGCTGACAAGTACCTGTCTGGATACTTTCTCCTTAACCCTCAAATCACAAAGAAAAACAAAGAGCCACATACTCCAGCACTGCCTTAACACTCTCCACATGCTTTATTCACCTTTCATTGCTTCATGTATACTTCAGCTGTGAGGTTCTCTGTACATCACCTACCCAGCATCACAAGGACAAGGTTAGGTGGTGCTAACGCTGCTCATACCATTAAAAATCATTATAAATTATACTACTGAAATCCCCAGGATTTAAACTTGTACCAACAAGCCAGTAACTTCAGACAACAGAGGAATTCAGCACAAAGTCCTCTCTGGTGGACTGCCATTCAGCAAGAGCCCTGTTAGTGGGATCAGGCAGGAAAATGCTCTGATGAGAGCTGGAGCACCAAATTGCAAAGCCTCTGGTGACTTGGCAACGCTCTCAGCAGTGTCTTTCCAATCTTGCAAGAACTAGCAGGCACAAATATTTTTAAATCCAAGGGGGTATGGATTCAGACACCTATGCCTCCCCTCCTCAGCATATGGCAAATAACTGTAGTAAGTCAAAATGATTTAGCATGACTAAAACATAAGGGGGAAAGAGCTGAAGCCCACACTTTTTTTTCATGGGCTTACTGTGAACTCAAAGGAGTCCCCATGTTAGAGCTGTCCCTGGGAATTCCAAGAAGCTCTCTCAGACGAACGCTGTCAGCCTGACAGGGACACTGAGCAACAAGCTTGTAACGGCTCCAACTTTACAATCCACCTTCCCTAGCCTGAGTGGGTGAACAGTAACAGGTTGCTACTCCTGAAAGCCTGGAAACGTCCACATGCAGCAGAGCTGCTACTCATGCAAACAAGAAGTTTGGAGATGTGCATCTCTGACCTACGTGAAGATGGAGGCTATTCAAAAAACTAACAGCACAACATTTTCAGAGTGCTTGTTTTAGGTTGATCATATCCCTTCAAATACTACATACTCTTCTGGTACCATTTCAAATTTTGTAAGTTGCAGTGAATACTACTAACAAATAATTTTGAGGGGTTTTCTTTTGAGTTTAGGGGACTTTTTTTCACTCTTTTAGGGAAAAGGAATAAATCAAAGTAGCCTCAAACTGAGTCACAAACATGGAACTAAAGAGCACCAACAGACCACTAATTAGGAGTTCCTGACAGAAGACACTTAAGTTACAATATAGCTAGAAAAATAAATAAAATGCTTTTTAAGCAAAAAAATCTCTCAATTAACCCCTTACCCAGCAACTTGCAAACTTCACAAGATGTTTCTGCCCTGCAGACAGTCATGTGAGACACTTCTGGTGTTTCTCTCATTTCAGTGACATCAAAAAGACCTCATAAAAGCTGCTACTGTCCCAGTCTCCAGTCCTTGGCATCGCTCCAAGGAGTTCACACACACACAGTCATTGGTATACAGGCAAAACAAAGTATCAGCTGCAAAAACATTAGAAACAAATTTTAGTACAAGCATTTGGGTCAACAAGAATTGTACGATTTTGACACATTTTGTTTCATTTTGTCAGAAAGCAGCAAAAATAATTTCACTCCACCCTCATTGGAAGTGAGTTTCCAGAGCCAAATCTATTATCTTCTGGCGGGGGGTGGGCAGGCGTGGAAAAATGCAGAGGGAGGGAAGACAAGTACTGCAACATGGTACTCAGGAAGAGTCTGTATTTTCGTTCTGGGAAAAGCTTTTTTGTCATAGGTAAACTATTTCAAGGATGTTTTTCCATTGTGTACTCCTTCAGGTTTCAAAACCAGAACAGCTGAAAGGCTACTAAACTGGCAAACAGTTTGCTTTTTATTTGCTGAATACGCACTCCACTTGAAAGACTAAAAAGTACTGTAAAAAAGAAAAGCTGACGTAAAATAAGTACCGTGGAAAGGAATAAACAAGTACCAGACAAGCACGGTATAGCAACTGATGTTTAAAGTGACTTCATACTTATCCTTCCCTAATGCCTTCATTATCCAGGAGGATATAGCTGGGAACTGCAGTTCACCACAGCCCAGTGCTCCCCAACCCACACACCACTCCCTTCTCTCACCACAGCTGTGGGTCCCTAATCCCCCAGTGACCCCTGCTCTTCTACTGCTCCTCTCGCCCTTCTACCTCTGCTTATTTCTTAGTCCTTACTCGACATTTCTGCATTATATCCTTCTCTAGCAGGCTTACCTCAACGAAATTTGTCTAAGTCCTGAAACTAGCGTCTTCATGTTGGTAATTAGTGGCACCCTATTAATAAAAACAAACCCAAACAAACAAAAACAAAACAACAACAACAAAACCACAACACAACCCAAACCTGCCTGCACACAGGGTGGCAAGTCCTTTCTCAGTTTTTGCTTGTAGCCCTTTCACTTTCTGACTCTTTCGCCCCTTGCATAATATTACCGTTTTTGTTACCCAACACTGCAGACAATATTTTAGGGGATTTTTGCCTGGGTGGAGGATTGCTTTGTCTTTTATTGTGATCTTTTCATTTTCAATTACAATACCACTGCATTTGCACTAGGGTTTGTAAGGCTTCTCTGTACCAGCCTTCTCTCCTTGTAAATTAAGTTATCTTTCATCATCCCGACTACCTGAAACTTTCTTGTTAATAATGAGATTTCTCAAGACCAGAAGATTTTTACATTTACTTTAAAAAAATAAAAAATCTCCAAGTTCAGGGGCTTAGAAATAACATTTCAAATTAACGCAGCTGTTTCCAGTTTATTCATAGATTAACAGTGTTTCAGATAAGCAAATTTCCCATGTTTATTCCTTGCCTAGAAGGCATTTCTAAAGCAAAGCAGTCACCGGCAGCAGACAGCATCTGGTGAAACACCTAAAGCTCAGCAAGACTGTTCAAAACTACTGTATTTCAAACTGACAAGAGCTGCTTTAAGGCTTCTTAGAGAAAACCTGCAGAAGAGATGAGCAAGTTTGATCTGCCTACAACACAACTGACAAAGTCTGGTTTCCTACAGCTCTGTGTGGTTTGCCCCATAATCCCTAGCTCCTTTTGGACAACCTGCCTGATAATCACTGGACAAAAATAAAGCAGTGCTCTGGCACACAGGCACTACTGCAGCACTGCCTTAGCTGTGCTGCCAGGACTGAGAGCCACCACTGAGCTGAGTGTGTAGGAGCTGATTTTGTCTGGCTTTCCCAAGCCTTTCCTGATGGGAGGCCTCCACCTGGGTATACTTTATCTATTTCTCCCAATTTTCCCAAAACTTACAGGATCATCATAATTTCTAAGAACAGAGAGGACATCGCATTAGCATAAACTGCATTCTTTCCACAGAATAGTTTGCAGCATTGACCACAAAAGAGATATTGGTCCCACTGGGTATATCCTGGTTAGGAGTATGAAAGAAGGAAAGAAGTCCATATTTAACACACCTGGGATTAGCCTTTAAGAAAAAGAAAAAATCACCTCAGTAGGCAGCTTTTGTTTTCAGTTCAAAAGCAGCCCAGTCACCCATGACGAGTATTTAAGCATTTTAGTATTTTGTCCTAT